ACTTTCTAATTACTAATTGACGTTAATTAAAATTAATTGCTGAAATCGATGGAATATATGTATCATCCATTATACGTCTATATGATTTACCTACCTACCTAAAAATAAAAGGATCTTTTGCACGATACCATTTAAGTTCGTTGTAGAATACCTAAACGCGTGTTCCTCTATTGTTTACCTTTTAATATGTAGGTATAGGAACGGACGAAGTAAGCCAGAAATATGCATATTGCGAGGCATATTGCTCCTATTTTGGGATGTTAAATAGTCATTGATATTCACCTATACGTATAAAACTCGGTATTAACCCTTAAATAACTTCAACAAGGACTATACACGTCAATTCCTTTTTACCTCGTTTTTTACCACCCGCACGTTAGTAAGGGAGGTACCTACATATATTGCATTGGAATAAAAAATTATAACCCACTTTTTTTAAGGAAATACCTACACGTTTTGAAGCACAAGGAATCCGAAACAAAGAAAATCTCGATGATGTCGATCGGTCTGTCGGTCTGTTTGTCAAACTCTCGATTCTGGCTAAACGGCTGAACCGATTGGAACCAAATTGGGTACAAATTTTATTATAAAGGGACCTTTTTGTGTTGAATGTTAGAATATGTTGCGCAACTTGGGGCAAATTTAAGGGTACGTGTGGGCAATCCCATGGGTGTAAGTACTACGTGGAAGAAAGAAACAAGAAAGTGCAAGAAAAGGGTGATGAAAAGACACTCCTTTGTAAAAAACAATAAATAGACTAAACATTAACTAACCCAATTTGCATTTTATTTAAATTAGCTGCCTCAGGCGATATTCGTATATAATAAAAACTTTAAACAATCAATAAAGTTTATTATGGCGCGATTTGAAAAGACATTTGAAAAAAAGGTGTAGTTGCCAGTTTTATTATCTACATTTAGTCTCTACTATGCGCCGCCTTAGTTTTTCGTTTAATGGCATTCAGATTTGTATTTAACCTTTACGGCCAAAGTGGTTTTAAACTAATTTGTACACATAAAATGTCGGGGAAGAATAAACTGTAACCGTTTTAGTAACAAAATAAAACCGACCGTTTCCTCCTTTTCTCCATTACAATTGTCTAGACGTTTAACAAAAATACAACATTTTTATTTCCAGGCCGCGGCGGCTATAAATTCCCTAAGATGTTTTACCCCATTCTGTGTTAGCAATCGTTATATCAATTACACATACACGTTTAGTTGTATTGTGACGTTCCAGTCTAAAAATAGCGACAATGTCAATGTTCTGTCAAGCACGTGCCAGTACAATACAGAATCTAGTCAATTAAATAAGGAAGCTGTTTAATCTACGATTTCGGCTCATATCCACCAATCTAAAAATAATAGAAAGGAAATCAACCACAGGCGCCGCTTTTAGCACGAATTACCACTAAACTTTGTATTGCAGACACAAACAAAATTATGCGTTTTGTGGTTTTTATGTGACAATCGTGAGATTAACGCCAACAAGTGTTTATATGAAGTCATAAACCCTACAGTTATTTCCGTTTTATTTTTTTATATTGATGCTAAAGAGAATAACGATAAATAAATACTCTTCAAAAGAGGTTTTAAGTGTTGAATAAGGGATCGGATTACTGAAAAATGAGCCACTTTGTACAAGATCGTTTTACGCTTTTAAGTGTTCGCCACTTGTCGAAAGGATACAAGATATCTTAAATACTTTAGTGATAGCTGAAGCTTTCGCGATACAAGACTGTTACAATGTTACCGGTATTAATAATCAAATCATCAAATGGCCATCATCGCACTTTATACACACTTTATAGTCATTCAGTCTTCGCCAAGAAGATCCTGGTTCGGACTTCGGACCAATGTATAATTTTATTGTCTTATTTAATGTATTGCCGTCGGAAAATCGAACCTCTGCCTTGCAGTAAGTGTGTTGTAATCGATTGTAATGCACCAATCAATTAATTAAAGTTAAATGCACGTATGTAAGTGCATTGTGTTGTAATAGCTAAAGCACCATACCGAATACAAATTATCTAACGAATTTTATCAAGTTCCGGCAAGATCCATTCTTAGTGATACGCTGAACAAAATTTTCAAACGAAACACTATGGATGACTTTAGGGGTGCAAAAATGCTTTCAAAATGAAAATTCAAGTAATAAGAAAAGAAAACTGATCTTGCATGGATATCATCTCGTATTTCCGAAGTTATAATTTATGTGGTGCCTTGTTTCTTGGAATGCATTCGATCTACATTCTACAACGTACCCTCTAATTTCATTTATAGGTGTAAACCTTGTGAGCTTTATTATTAGATTATATTAAAGAAATATTATTCTTTCTTTGAATGATTTTGTTAACACGATCTATTGCCAGGATCATTTTTAGTATCTACACCTACTATGCGATCAAAAATCAGTTGCTGTCGAGTCACCTTTGGAATGTTTGTTTACGTGGGAGATCGTACTTAAGTTGAACTTCCAAAGGCGACTCGACAGCAACTCATTTTTGAAGACTAGGAGTTTTGTAGTTTCATTTTTTATTGCCCGTTACATCACATATTTTTACTTGTTTAACCGATTTGTTTATATGGTCCACAATCTTCAGTACAAATGCACATAAAAGCGTATATCCTCCCAATTTTCAAATTACCAATTATTTTTATTGCCTTGCCACTATTGTAACGTTTGTGGTTGATCATATATTTGTATTTCTTCGCTTGATTTTGTTTATACAATCAACAAAGCGTATACCCTACGACCTACGTCGAGCGGTATTTCACTGGGAAAACTTTTGTACACGTACTGCCTAAATTGGCAGTACTTGGTGTACTCCCCCTGTCCTACCAGTAATTCTGTGTACTGCCGGACACTACTAATTACTACCTAAGTACTACTCTACTAATAGTCCTGTCGATGTACTGCGATTTACTACCCGGTCCTGAACGTGTACTGCTAGGTACTACCGTGTCCTGTGTGCATACTGCCATGACCCATGAAACGAATGCTGAATCTTATCGACATTTTTTGTATATACCATCAAAAAACGTTGCAATGATCAATACTTTATTATTGATTTACAGTGCTAAAAGCTACTATCTAATTAAAGGAACATCTAATTGTATCGTCTTTGTTATTTATTTCATTCATTTTTGTGATATCTAATTTGAGGGGATAAGAGTCGAAGGTCCCAAAAAGGCATATTCGTCGCACACCATTTCCCCAGAATTCTTGGGCCACTTATAAATGCCTATCAACTCGTCTGGATGACAAGATCACCTTGATTTTCTATGGCGGTCACCGGATTTGATTTTAGCGGACCAGGTGAGCCTGAAAGTAGTGCAAGCATCAGATGTACATGCAATATACCTACTTCCAGATATTTTTGGCGCAAGCCACGAAACAGGAGCGCTTATGTCTTCACTTTTTTCCGTCCGTCAGACGGTATCGACTTCGGAATTTTTCCAGATGTGCAACTCAAAAATGAACTTTGGTATCCATCGCGTTGTTGCCCAAAATCGATCAAAATTGTTATTTATACATCCATTTTGTTGGGAAAAAGACTAAACTCTATTCCTTGATGTCCAAGAAGTGATCCATATGCATTTTTAACCAAAAGTTGTCAAAACCGATATCGCTCAGACTACAAACGTAGCTACTTTAAAGTTAATCATCGGCCCATCTGTCTATATAAGTATCGGACAGACGGGCAGGCATCGCAAAATGATAAGCTCGCTAGGATGCTTATTCATATTCTATAAAATTGCATTTTTATAATTATATAAATTGATGCCAAGAAGTTTGTTAGTTTCAAGTTTGCTAGTTTTTAAGAAGCACAGAACGCGAGAGAACATTAGCACGGTCATAACAGATAAGCTGTTATCAAACACTTCGGCTTAATTACACTAGCTCAAGGTTTCGGATTAAAACGTCAATTATTACCATAGGTCATCGACATTCATTTTTCCCGATGCAAAAAGCAGTAGACGAATGAAAATTGATGCTGTATTATTTTAGAGGTTGTGGATATAGCTAAGCATTCCCATTATTTCCTTTTCCTGTAACATTTGTTCCAGGTGGTTCGTTTAATTTAACAAAGTTAGATCTCATGAAATTCTAATAAGGACCGTAACGGAAGCCGCGGCCTAGAAGGATATCCATAGGTATGATTGATGACTCCGCCACCTTTTTTGCATGCAACCCCCTAAAATGTTATTTAAATTTTGCAATTTTCGACTGTAAACTTTTTTCGGGCTGAGATTTACGTTTGGATGGTTTCGTTTTATTATTTACCATGATATTCGAGATAAGTTTTATGAGAATTGTAATTAATGGTCACGCACCATTTGTTGTTTATCGATTGTAATAATCGTTTCAATAAAATCCATCGATTTTTGAGCTTGAAAAGATTTAATTTACCTACTGTAGAATTTTATTTACGATATGGAGATATTCGAACCAATTACGAAGATTAACAAACTTCTTATCTGTTCGATCACCTTTGGTACAATGAAATTTGGCAGTTAAAAGTATCAAATCTGTCACCTACCTATACGTCGTTGAACGATAAGAAACCACTTAAATGATAACATTATTCTAAAAACAGTAGTTTACTTGGGATACAATCAATAATTGCTCTGCAGAAATAATTAATAATTATATAGTGAACAAATTTTCAATTTGTTTGTAGATGGACAAGTTTGATATTCTGCGAAAGGCAGTAAAACAAAACTGTTATTTTCATTTTAATGGTTTTATAAAGCAAATATAAAATGAATGGTCGGATAGTAAATAAGTAATTTCCGACTTAAACATCAAACGAAATGTTTATTACTATTAACAGTGGGTTAAAAGAACTATAAGATTCCAAAAGAATGACATGTTTAGCAGCGCCATTTTCAAATATTTACTAAAACTGTCCGTCACGGCGCGTAAAGCTCGCACACGAGCTTTTAATGCATGGAAATGAAAGAATAACGAAGTCGATAAAAATGGGGAAAACTCACCATTTACGGGAAATCCAGAAAGGGTGATACACCACACGAAAACGGGCAATAAATCCGCAATTAGAGCCATTTCGATTCACAACAATATTATAATAATATAGTATCACAACACACTACCAACTCAACTACCACTATTTCACTATAAACGACGGCATATTTACACAAAACTATTGTTGATTGTCAGGAAATTTCGCTATCTCAGATGCTAATGAAAGGCCTTGCACGCCATGTTATTTATTTAAGCGCGCGACAACCCTTTCTAATTTATTTAGGCCCCATTTGGTATCAGAAAAAAACCCAAAGTTTACCCCCTGAAACGAACGTATCAATCCTTATCGTAAAAGCTTAATGTTCGGGCGGCTTTTAATTTGTGTTTAAAAGTGGCGGGTGTTGCGATACGTAAAACAATGACGCCATCGACACATACTCCCCCACAGAACGTCGACGCGCAACTAAAAGCTGAAGCCTGAAACTGAAACTGAAACCCGGCGCCATCAAAAATGGGGGGGCCCTCACGTTTATCCCCATACTATGATCGGCGGATGCCTTTGGGCCGAATTAAGTAGAAAAAAAATTATAACTGGTTCTTGATTTATTTATAACGGCGGAATACCTTTATTTAATTACAATGCAGAAGGCGTTCACGACGGAATAATTACATTAATTATCTTCCGAGTTATAAAGTTTCAGTGAGAAATAATACTACTGTTAGTATATTGTTGGATATTAATAGCCGTTTAGTTAATTTATGCGCTCGCGTTTTAAATAGGCAAGAAATTTGGACCAAAGCATTCGTAATGTCGGTATTTTTCGCAAAATTTATAGGAATTAATAAAAATTGTTTGGAATGAAGATAAATTACCAAAATCATGAGTACGTGGGTGGTTTTAGTGCAACCCACTAACAGTGAGAAAAAGATGCCATATAGGTTACCAGTACCATCTGGCGAAAGTCCGAAGCCTAGAGAGAGAATTAGAAACAGCGTGGGACGAGAAAAAGTCAAACGGGGAAGTGAGAACATACCTACCCCTTCATGGGTTCACACTAACAATAAGAATACTTTCGATGAGAGGTACATATAAGTTTTGACTAATTGATACATTTGCTGGAGCAAATACTTTTAATTTTATTTTATATTATAATCGGTAGCAATCCACGCAGGTTATAATGACGAAAAAATGGGATAGTACACTTATATAATATATATCTTATTTTTGGAGATAAATGTTGAAGGTACTACAATAAACTGTTGAGGTCGAAGGTCTTGAAAATTCAAAATTGGCAAGTTTAATCTTGTTTTCTGCTCTTTACTCGAACGTAACCTTCAGCTATAGTTGAAAACCTCCGTGCCGTTTTAGTTCAAGCATGTTGTATTAGCTGTATTAGCGAACAATGTAGCAGAACTTCTCCGAAACGAATGCCCCAAATCTTTTAATTTCCAATATGCAGCGAAGCCATTTTACATGACCAAGTTCCCATTGTTACCTTTTCCAATTACTTTTTTTTATACATTTCCGAATGCGATAATTTAAGAAGAAATTGGACGATTTTTTGAATTTTTCGGACTAAGGTTTTTCTATTTGTTAGGTACATCAACAAAAAGTAATTTAAAGGAGTCAAATCACAGCTTCTTGGAGGCCAGGCAAGAGTTGCATTCCTTGAAATTATCCTTTCAGTATGACGACAGTTTCATGAGCAGTGTGACGTGTAGCAAATAACCCTTATTCACCCGGGGACGAAACTGGTACCTTCATACACATATACAAAACATAAACATTTCAAATGGTAAAATTTGTCAATATTTGTCAGTATCGTTCACCATTCCGTGTAACTGAATCTGCAACCTCATTTTGGAGGAAAAAATGGTCCAACCACACCATATGTTACCTTCAGGGCATGCAAAGGCTTCTCGTAAATCTGTTGTGGATTGTTTTCACATCGAAAATGCCAATTTTGCTTATTTACGTATCCAATTGACCAAAAATGATCTGAAAAGATAAATTTTCCGCAAAATTGGATCTTCTGTAACACTAGCATCTTACAGCAGCAATATTCTCAACAGTTCTTGCATTTCGACGTCTTACTGGTGTTTTTACATCGTGAAGAGTATAATTACTTTCAAATTTCTCAACCATCCGACGAATGGCAAGAACAGGAGGGCGATTATTTAGATCAAAGTTTTCCCGAAGTGCGCGAAAAGTGTTTACAAAAGAACGCCTATTTTCGTAAATTTTTTGGACAATGACAAAACGTTCTTGGAGCGGGTACTTAGCCATAATAAATTCTTTTTGGAAAACCCTTTACAATTACAAAAGTTATTATAATGAAAACTTGCAAATTACACTCACAATTAATTCACAATGGTAATGTCTGCCAATGTGGCGGATGCCACTTTCGAATTCTCCATCAAAATAGATAGTTTGACTCAAAACGACCTTCTGAGTGCTTTGCACTTATTTATCGGCAGAGGTCTTTTAGAATTCCAAACGTTTCAATGCAGTTGCTAATGGAATTATACATCTCTTTAAGTATTCCATTCGGCGAACGTTATAATTCTGAAGCTGATGTAAATTGGAGAAGAGAGGGCTTCATTTGATTGACGTGAAAAGTTTTAGTAGGTAAATCTCTTTGAAGAGGATATTAAATTAAAATGTATCAATCAGCTAGCCTACCCTCGCCAGTTGCATATACAAGGTATCAACGTTGTCGTCCTCATCGTCATCAGGCGGTAGCAACGGTGATTTTCAAAGACCGTGCCGACTAAGCTCGTTTTGCATACATTACGGAACCATTTCATAAATTGGCTCGGAATTAACAGTCAGGCGATGTAAGGGTTCAGCACGAGGACTACATGTAAATTGACACCGTAAAACAAGTGGGCGGTCCACTTTTCTTATACCAGTCTGCACCATTTCATAGTTACTTACGGATTACGATTTTCATCGACAATTAAAAAACTACTTTAGCGTTTCGTAATTACCTCAAGGCTGTATCTTTGTAAAGTAAATGCTTTGTGTATCGAAACTTTACTGATAAAAACCACCCGGCAACGTTACCATTAACTTTTAAATTATAAAACTCATTAGTACACGCTTAGTAGCTTTGAGTACGTTTTTCCAACACACGTCCGCAAAAAATTTAATAAAAAAAAACGTGGAGTTATAAATGAAATTGAATTATTCGTTACTGACAAACATTAATATGCAGTCACGGTAATAAATAAAACATTGAAACCCGGCATGAATTTAAAATTTACCGTTTGGCCTTTTAGACAAGTCGGCAACATTCGACGAAAATGAAAACAAAAGATGAAAACGTATTGCATCTTTCGAATGAAAGCTTCATAAACTTAACAATTAAATTCGGAATTCTGAACGAAAAGCTCAAAATAAGATCATGGCACACGGGTCTCATTAATTTCCTTCAGTTTTGATGGAAACTAAGTAGTTGTCGAAGAAGAAAGAAGATTCTGTATTCCTTGCGTTTTCCATACAGTTATAGGTAACTCAAATTTATTAGGGGTTTGAGCCAAACACCATATACATACGCTGACCCTTTTCAGTTCTGAAATTGCGAGCGCAGATTTACTTTTTTATTATACCTGAATCACAATCTCCGTTTTAAACACTCAAATGCGTGCGAAAAAGGGCCTTTAAAACACACGTGCTTTAAAGTTGCTAAGTAACGATACTTCAAGTATGACTTTTGAAACTGTCATCTGGATGAAATAAAAATCCTCTTAGGTCGCTTTCTGTAAATGCAGAACATTTCTTTGGCTTTTGTATCTATCCTTTGGTTGAAGCTTTCACAAACGCGCGTAATTTAGGGTATGCTTCCAAATCTGTTCCACTTTTTAATCGCAGCATTGCTTTAAAGTTTTGAATGAATGCACCAAAATATAGAAGATTTAAATACCTGTGACATTTCCTTCATATACGCCAGCATTATGGATGCATTTAAGACTGTATTCGTAAGTAACTTCCTATTCATCCATGGAAACAACTTTTCATATTCTTTATAATAGGCTTTACTGGAGTTGGATTTTACACCTACCAACGTTTGTTTAGATTTTACAACAATCGATTTAATGGGCGGTGTATTATCTTTTTCAACGGAAATCGTTTAATTCACAAAGACGATGATTTTTATAAGCAAACGTCAAGTGACATTTCCATGGCAATCGTGAAATTACGAACACCCAGCCCACTTAATTAGACATGTATTCGAGTATAACGTCAATATGACTTCATTGTATTTCCTATTTTTAAATTATACTGCAGGTATAATAAAAAATACTATAAGATACACGTGTATAATTAGTCTTTAAAGCACTTGCAACGTTAAAGGCACTCCGCTTTGCGTCGTGCCCTTAAACTCGTTGCGCGTGCTTTAAAGACTTGATTATACACTTGTATCTTAATATACTATTATAGTGCGAAATTAGCAACAAATTATGAAGTGTAAATGATATATCGGCCTCCTATGGGGTAGTCGTGTTCTGTGCCAATTTCAGCGCCAAATTTTGTAACACGTTTGTTTTGTCAACTTTACGTCTCTTTTGCTATTTTGTTTAACTAAAAGGTACCCTCGTCCTGTATGATTAAATCGAATTCGTGTTGATGTAAATGAGCATAGGTAACTTTCGAGGTTGACTCATCCTTCATCACAAATATCGAGTTCGCATTCAACGTTTTAAAATTCTTAATAAATAAACTAAGCATGTGATCTGAATGAGTAATCTAACTGCGGATGTGACTGATGCAAGATAAATAATTAAAAAATAAATTCTTCGTTTACCTTCTGAAATCATACTCTTTCCCACAGTCTTTCCGTCTTCAATTTGTCAATGAGCATTCTTCTATTGCCTCCGGTCCATCACTAGCCCGGTAGATTTTATTGACACTGAAAAATTAAAAAAAATTAAGAAAGGCTCCAAATATAATAATAATGTGATATATTTAAAGAATCTGGCCCAACACGCTGTTGTTGATTAAATGCAATACATAACATACCCCTAGTTTTTTTTTAAAATCCGGTATGACTGCGGCGTATAAAACTAGGTATACATTTAAAACATAAAATCCCATTAATTAGAGAAATCTGTTCGTGTCTTAAATTTGAAGTTTTAATTACGCTTTGTGCTCATTAAATGCAGTGTAAATGAAATAGATTGGAACTTCAAATATTTCGGGCGCGCCGCAGTTCCAAAATTGGAGTCAATTTTCCTAAAAATGACGTAATTTCAAAACGAGAAGGGATTTAATTTTTATGTGGCAATTTAAGGGTTGTTTCTTGATGAAATAAGCGTTGTTGAATTGAAGAAAGGAAGGAAGTGACTTTAGTTTTACTTATTTCATTCAAAATCTTTACAAATACGAGTAGAAAATAAGAGAGACCATGACAATCTTGTCGTAGTAACAAAAACTAAAGAAGTTTAAACAACAAATAAAACAT